GGCCTCTTGGAGCCGTCTTGGATCCTTCTTGAATCCTCTTGGAGCATCTTGGAAACCATCTTGAGGCATCTCGGGCGATTTTGATCCATCTTGGAGGTCATCTTGGGCTCTCGAAGGCCCTCTTGGAGCCGTCTTGGGCCATCTTAAACGCTCTGACCGCTCGCGACCGCCCCTGTCCAGGTCCAGGGGAGGGGGCGGGGGGGAGGGGTGAACCCCTCCCCGAAGGGGAAGAAGGGGGCTGGAAGAGGAAACTCTGGACCACCTACGCCCAGAGGGCTGGTGGGATGCTGGTCAGAACACACCCCGGGGGAGGTCCAGGACGTCGCGGAAGCGGTGCATTTGGTTCCCCCCAGCGGTAGGTGGGGACAGGCTCCACGGGGATGCATCGGCCCCCACTCGCCCCTTCATCGCCGATAGCCTCAAGTCGGGCGTGTCCCTCTACAGGAGGAATATTCAAACATATTCAAACAATAGTCCGGGGACGATTTTTGGAATAGTTTTGAATCTGTTGTTATCGTATTTTTGGATGACTTTTTAACTGTTCGTCCAAAATCGGCTTGTAGGTTGACGTGCCCATGGTGTATTACCGATCTCAACCACTTTTAGCTGGCGACGCGTTTCAGACTCTAGGTCCTCTTCTTGGCCAAAAGGCTGCGGTGTCCCACGCGCGTGCCGTGCAGCGCGCGAGCAAGGCAGCAAGAGGTCAAGAGTGCGGGTGGGCAGCCGGGTTTTTTCACCCCCTTAATTGTTCGTCCACAATCGGCCTGTATCTGGACGCCCGACATGGGTACGGAAAGAATGGGTACAATGCCCAACAGCAGTTCCTGTCTACTTTGAATCGGACTCGCTGTCCGCGCCGCCGCGGCCTGTGTCCATTCGAGACAGAAGGCCGCCTGCCCAACAGCGGCCGCTGTTGGTTCGGGACAACACTTGCTGCTGGGCAGTGTTCCCATTCTTTCCGTACCCACTTCGGGCGTCCAAACTGCAGGGGGACGTGCCCGGCTTACACGATAGCCCGCTCTGCCCGGACGCTGCTCGCCGCTCGTGAAGCCTCGCGGTGCCCGCCGCGCTGCCGAGAGCGCGCGCAGGGCTCCCGCCCGCGCTCGGCGGCGTCGTGCGACCCGCTGTAGCGCTCGCAGGGTCAGGTCGGGCCTGTCCCTCTGTTCGGGGCGGGAATTTATGCATGACCACCACCTGGAGGATCAATTTTCGGGGACCTCGCAGGCGGTGGACATTGACATATTCGGGCCCCCGGGGGCCGAAATGCATCCATATCCGCCGCCCGCTGGGGCACCAGGACGTTTGTTCCCAGGCGGTGGATGTGGATAAATCCCCGCCTCGCACTCTGCAGGGGGACATTTTCAAAAGTAGTCAAACATAGTATGGGGGCGATCTTTGAGTATTATTTCGCTATTTTTGGCATTTTCGGGGTACTTTATGTTTCGTCCAGAATCCGCCCGTAGGGGGGACATGCCCGACCTATAATCGTAGGGGGGACGGGGGAGGCCATGCCCACGGGGGGGAACGGAGGAGGCCATGGCCGCGAGTTGCCGGATGGGGCTCCCGCTCGCACGGGGGGCCTCCCCAGCGGTCCGACAGCCCGCACCCATGCCCATGGCCAGTCCTCCCCCCGCCGCCCCCCCCCCCCTGGCGTGGCATCGCTCGGGCGTGTGTGTCTCGGCGAGGATCTCTGAGAAACATCCTGGATCATCGAGCGAACAAAAACACGCACGAGACCGAAACATGCACGGGAGATGGACGTCCGAGCGACGGCAGGCTGGGCGTGGGCGGTGTGCTGTTCGCTCGCCCGCCCCCGCGCGGCCGAGGCGCCGACGGCGCGGCGAGCCCCGACGGTCAGGACCGCGGCCCGCCCCCCCCCCTCTCTGGCGCGCGCGCGCGCGGCCCACCGGGGCGGGGGCCGCCTGCCTCCTTGTGGTCGGGTGTTGCTGGAAATGCCTCCCGCCCCCCCCCCCCACCCCACCCCGGCCTCGGGTCGGCGGCGAGCGAGGGGGGGAAGTGAGAAGGAGAAGGCCTTCTCAGAAGGTTCGGAAGGCCCCCCACCTTCTGAGAAGTTTCCAAGCCTTCCCTGAAGGCAGGAAATACTTCTCAGAAGGGGCGAGGGCTTCGGAGAAGCCCCGCCGCCTTCTGAGAAGGCCTTCTCCTCCTCACTTCCCCTCTCGCTCGCCGCCAATCGGGGGCGGCCCAACCGACCTCTGGCAGACCAACCCCCTTCCGTGGTGCCCCCCCTCGCCTCGCCCCCAGACGTGTGTGCTCGGGGGAGGCGCAGGACTCGACGTTACGCCAGAGCTCGACGTTTGCCGTCGCTCTTCGACGAGCGCGTCCCGGATTTTGACGGTCCGCCTCGCCCCAAGGCGCATGCGTGCGGCCGGAGGGACGCTGGAGAGGCGAGGGGGACGTCACGCAAGGGGATGGCTTGCCAGGGGTCGGTTTGGCCGCGCCCGACGGCATGAGGTGCCCCAAGGAATGCCGTGGAGGCCCCCTCGGCCGCCCGAGCACCACTCACGAAGCCCGGAGGGTCATGGGGTCGGAGGGCACCAACTATACACCTACACCGATCTTGGCCACGCCAATCTGCGCCCAGGATCGGTGTGTGTGTGTATACATATATATATATATATATATATATATATATACCTCCTTGCCCCAGGCAGGCGGGCGCATACACCGATCCTGGGCCCAGGGTGATCCTGGCCAGGATCGGTGTTGGTGTGCAGTTGGTGCCCTCCTATTGGGGGGGCTCCAGAGTGGAGCGAACAGCTGGGGGTGCCTTGGGCCAGGGGCACCCTGCAGCGACCCCCGATCCACGGGGGGGGGCCGCCGCCCGGGCAGCGGCCTCGCTCCTGGCGATGTGTGCCCGGACCTCCTCGCGCCAGGGCAGAGTCACGACGGAGGCTGCGCATCGCTCGGACGTGTGCATTTTTTCTCGGCGAGAACCATCGAGGGCCATTCTGGACCATCGAGCAAAAAAAACACGCGCGAAACCGAACAATGCAAGGGAAATGGACGTCCGAGCGATGGCAAGGAGGCTTTTGGGTGATCCCTGGCCCCTCTCGCTCGCCGCTCTCCGTGCCTCCGTGCCGCTGCCGCCGCCGCGCCGTGCTTTCATGTAATGACGCCGCGAGGGGGCCCCGGGCACTCGGGCCCCGACGGGAAGGCCTCCAGCCTCGGGCGGCCGGGAAGGCCGCCGCGAGTGCGTGCGTCTCGTGCTTCCCCCCCCCGTCCCCCTCGGCGCGCCGCGGGGCCCTTGGCAGCGGCGCGTCAGTCTTCAAGGGGGAAAAACACACAGACACAATCAATCGTCGATTCCCCAGAAAATATCGGAAAGTATGGGAAGTGGGGGGGAAGACAAAAACCCAGAAAATATTGGAAAATATGGGGAATCCTGTTATTTGTGTGTTTTTTATTTGTGTGTCCCAGGGCCCCTTCAAGTCTGGCCTCTCTCGCGGCGCCCTGACGGGGGCCCCAGGGCAGAGCAGACCGACTCGGGGCGGAGAGCCGGCCGCGGGGAAGGGGTCGAGGCCTCCAGGGGCCCACGCCGTGAAAAACGCAGGACGTCGGAGGCCCGGGCGTGCTGGTCGCCCTGCGCCTGCGAAGTTCTAGGGCCCGAGCGCGCCCTTGGACGTGCCCAGGGGTAATTTTTGTTACCTGCTTTGGAGGCGCCCTCCGCGGACGGCGCCTGACCCCCCCCCCCACCTGGCATGGCCGGGGCCCCCCTGGGCTGCAAGTACAGAGATGGTGCATCGATCCTCCGGGCCTCGACCAGGACAGCGTATGCGCCCTCGCAGGGACCCGGCACGGTGGTGGTGTCCAGGTGCTTCGGCTCTGGCCATGCACGGTGGTGTTTAGTAGGTCCCTGATGCCGTGCATCGCAGAAGGGGGGCACATTCCCTCTCGTCAGAGTGAAGTTCAGAGCGTGAATTACCTACCCCGCTTTCGCTTCCAGGCAAAACCAAGTCATACCACGCGCCTCCTCGTCAAGCGGCGTGACCAGTACAGGCCGTAGTTTGGCATCGCTTGGTATCTCTTGGAAGCGAGGGTGGTCAACAGCGAGGCAGGTTTGTTTTCACCCTAGAAGTGGATCGCCCAACGGCGTGAAAGCTTCACTGCCTGGGGCTCCCCTTCTGGGGCTAGCTCGAACAGCAACACACGCAGCACCCCGCACTTGCGGGTAGGAGTGAGGAGGCAGCGGCGCGGGTGAGTTGCTCCCTCGTGAAGCGGGGAGCAGACGGCGAAGCCTCCAAGTGAGCGACGGCAGAAAACAGGATCGTCTTCGCCGACATTGGCGCGCAAGCTGCCCGCGTGAGGTCGCGCGTGCGCGCCCTCGTTTTCAGTGGGCGTGCCGCGCACCTGGCCCGCGTCAGCCGGCGGCGTAGGCTCGCTATGCCAGCTCGCGTAAGACCCGCTCTTTTTCGTCGATCAAGTGCAGCCTCCTATTTGCAGTCTCAAGCTGGAGCCCCCAAACGTGGCCCCCACGTGTCGCCCCCCATGTGTGGCCCCCAAGCGCAGCCCTCAGAGGCCGGGCCGACCAGCCAGCCAGGCGCGCGCACAGAGCAATCAACATCGTTCGGCCCCCCAGTCACTCTGCTAAACTCTGTTCTTCTGGCGCTAGGGCGCTCTTGCGGCAATTTTATACTTCGTGTCTTCGCAGAACATGTCGCCTGTTTGTGTCCCAGCGCGTTCGCCTCCGTGCCCCGCGCGTCCCGAGTCCCGCCCGCCCGCCCCGCGCACGCCGCCGCCCTCCCGCCGCTTTCCGGCAGGCGCCTGCTGCGAGCGTGCCAGCGGCATGCAACAGACAGACGCGTCTGTGTCCCAGCGCGTCGGCGTGCTGTCCACTGTGACGACGCGGCAGTGGACTCGCGCGCCCTCAATGCACATGCCGTCCCGTGCTTTTTGTATGTTCGTTTTGCTCATCCAGGTGTGTTCGCCCGGCCCGGCAGCACCCTCGCTGCGGTCCGTGCACGTCGTCGCCGCGGTCGCAGCCGCAGTCCCTCCAACAAAACGTTATTTGCTGCGACTTTTTGGCCGAAGCCACCACTCGTACTCCCGCTGCGCTCTCTCGCGCATCCAGCCACTACCGTGGCCCAGCACACCGTTCGCAGAGGGTTCGCGCAATGGGCAACACGGGAAGCAGCGGCGGTGTCCTTCAGACCGCGGACACGAACTCTTCAGGCAAGAAGTTCTTCACCAACTTCCTGTGTGTGGGTTGCGGCTGCAACAATGAGCTGCTGAAGCCCATGTTCGCCACCGAGTTCCGCTGCTGCTGCCTTGAGCACGGTACCCGTGTCGACTTCACACATTGCGACAAGGCGAGCCATTTGTGCCTCGGCCGTGCCGGCTGCAAGGCTGGCCCCGTCGTCGGGGAGGTCAAGAACCCGCTCATCGACAACCACGAGCTGATCGTCGTGTGCGAGAAGAATCTCGTCGACTGTGGTCACAGCACCAAGGTGGAGGGGCGGACGCAGACGAGCGACACGCGCATCAGCGGGAAGAGTTACCACACGAATTGTGGGTGCGTGGGCTGCGGGCTCGTGAACGACCTTTGTTCGCCGGTACTGGCAGGCGAAACGCGGTGCTGCTGCTTGGAGTCCGGCACGAGGGTCGACCTCAACAATGTCAGGACCATGGACGACCTCTGCAGGTGCCGCGCAGGCTGCAAGTTCTGCCCGGCCACGGTCGATCTGAAGAACCCCATTGTGGACAATCACGAGCTTGTGGTGGTGGTGGAGAAGAAGATCTATGGATGCAAGTAGAGATGGCGGGCAACTGTAACGAACTATGGGGCGCAGCCACTTCGGGCTCTTCTAAGGATGCGTCGTCTTCATGAGGGCCAATGGCCACACATTGATGAATAGTGGGGAGGTGAGGGGCATCATGGTGGTGGAACAGCAAGAGGGAAGGTTGAGATCACGATGCAGAACAGGAACACGAGGTGGAGGTGGAGGATTCTGGGCAGCAGTTGGAGGATGAAGAGGTGGACGAGTAGGTGGTGGATGATTCGGCTGGGAGGAGGAGTGGGCGGAGGAGATGAAGAGATGAGGCATGAGTGCTGTAGAAGTAGGAACCAAGGCAGACAGCTCGAAAGTCAGCTCACACTCACCCTGTCTCACATGAGATTGGAAGCAGCGCCGGCACAATCTATCATTGGAAAATATGAGCAGCTGCCAGCCTCTGATGAGCGAGCCCCAGTGCCCAACGCGCAGTGCGGGTGACGCATTTGCCCCCCTGGGCGGAAGGTCAGGGCGGCCAGCGCTTTACCGAGTCATGATTTTGTTTTGATTTGTGCATTCTCACACGAAGTATCCGCGAGCTGAAAGGTCGACATGATATTCAGTTTTTCTGGCCATGCAGTCTCCGATCTTGTGGGGGGACTGGGCGGGGCGTACCTCACCATGCCTATTTGCACTTCGCGTGTGCTGTGATTTTTATTGCTTTTGCCGCTTATGTCCACCTCCCCCAAAACACCTTTGAAGGAACGGAAGGTGCGTCGCGCGAGAGTGGTGGCCACACGTGGCTGGTTGGGGTGGATGGCGCCCATGGCTGGGCTGGGCTGGCCGGCGCACCTGCTCACTGCATGTCGAGGAGTTTTCCTGGCGGTCTTGCTCCCCACGAGCTTCTCGGCGGGCGTGACACTTGTTGGGTCAAATCGGGAGGGCAGCCTCAAGAAAAACCGGCGCGGCGCAAGCCCGAGAACGATGTGCGCGGCCGCCCCGCTGCCCGCAACACACTTTTCACGGCCGTCGACAAAATGTCCATGTTGACCGGGAACATGCTGATTTTGTATGGTGTTTTTTCTGGTCAAGTAGAAGGACCAGATTTGATTACATTTGGGGGAAGCTAGGAGAATTGGAGCATTCATCCACAAGGGGTATTGATAACGTGGAGTGGGTGTTGTATTCACGTAGTGTAGCAAACTCGAGGCAGTCGGCGGCTGCCGTGCGTTCTAACTTCAACCTCCCTCCCGCGACGTTGATCGACGTGAGGTAGCAACGACGCCAAACAGGAGCGAGCCTTCTCCTTCAGTATGCAGCAGGACTAGCTCTCCTGGCGAGTCGCGGTCCATATCCGATCGCAATGGTGGAATGTGGCCGTGACAAGGCTCAGGCTGTAGCCTTCCCTGTGCAGCGTCCCTCCGCCCCGACGCCTCGTCGCACCTCCCCGCGGCATCTCTCCCGCGCTGCGCTCGCCGCTGCTGAGCTCATACTGCCGTGCAGATCTTAAACGAGCCCCGAGGCTGGGATGTTACCCTTCGGCCTCGCAATGAGACGGAAAGCCAATATATATATATAGATATATGTAACATATACTCGATACTCGCATGTTGACGCGTAGACGAAGCAGTTGGATCATCCATGGTGGCAGTCGTCCAGGTGTTGCGTGTAGCTTCGAGGCGTACTATTACGCAGGAAGAACATGGAGGGACCCATGCCATTTTACATCCATTTGCATCAACCGTGACCAACCGTGCGAGTTGAGTTCGGGGTAAAGTTGCTGCAGGTTTCACATGGTTTGGCATACTACAGCGCCTGGGCGTTCGGATAGCAGCGCCCACAGCGTGTGAGATCATACACAAAGTGAGTGCCAGGTTTGCAGCTTAGGTGGTGCAGGTCGCGTGCACTTCCAAAGAGATGGCGCTTGCTACGTTATCTTTTGTGTGCAAGTTCCATGTTATCAGAACCTGAACGGTGTGAGTTTGCTGGACCTTTGCATAGGAAGCGCCAGACTGCGATTTCGTCCTGTCGCGAGCGATGTGTGCCTGAGGAAGTGTCATCGCCGATGACAAATCTTTCTACGATGGTAGGGACACGCTGGGTCTGGCCTTTTCAGGTAGAGCGGATCCTCTCGCTTTGGTTCTATCCGAGGCTCTGAGGCAGGGGTGGGAACATTCGGTGGAAAGACGTCATGACACGATGAATATGATGTCTAGTAGGGAGGAGGTATGATGTCAATATGATGTCAGCATGATGTGAATATGAGGGCTAGCAGTCCATCTGATGAATGATGCATCTGAATGATGCCCAGTAGATAAGGGTACCATGAACATGATGCCAATGTGATGTCCAGTACGGTAGGTTTGCGTCGTGTCGACCAGCGGCGACCCCAGCGTGGGCGTTCAAGGTTGAACGCCGCTGGCGACCCAGAATCGATCGACGTTGAACGATCGGACGTTGCGGCAGCGGCCAATCGTTCAAGGTTGAACGATCCCTGCGGTGTCAAAAACCAACGCCGAAGTCGGCACGACACGGACCTGCCGTAGTCGATGCTGCACACCCTTTTCTGGCCCGCGGCACGGCAGAGGCAACCCGCTCGCGCGCTCGGGTCGCCGGGGGCGCCCAGCGGACGAACCGACCGGCTGCGAGGGCGACAGGGGCTGGGGGGAGCGGCCGCGCAGGAGAGGCGGAGGAGGAGGGAGGAGGAGCGGGAGGGGGAGGAGGAGGAGGAGGAGGAGGGGGAGGAGGGGGAGGAGGGGGAGGGCGGAGGAGCGGGAGGGGGAGGGGGAGGGGGAGATGGAGCAGCAGCAGGAGGAGGAGGAGGAGGAGGAGGAGGAGGAGGAGGAGGAGGAGGAAGGCATTCACCGCAGAAAGCATTTCAGGGTGAGCGCGCGGGAGCGGCCAGCAGGGGCTGAGATGGCCTGGCAGTTGGCGCGGGACGGCATCACGACCACACCCAGGGACCGAGCCGGGGGCTGCAGGCGCAGGAGCGTGGTGGGCCGAGTGAGGCAGCATCCCGAGGCAGTGAGGTATACACGCGAGTGTACGGACGGTCGAGGCAGCCGGGCGCGGGGGGGGGTAGAGGCGTGCGGGGCAAGGAGGAACGGTCGGGCGTGCACGGAGACGGTTGAGGCGAGGTCAGTGGTGTCAAGCGGTGGCGAAACCTTGTGGCGTGCCTGTAGATCCAGTAAGCGGTTCTCCAAGATCCTTTGTGGTATGCGCGAAATCTTCTGCGAACGTTTATGGCTGAGGCTGTTTTGTTTCAGTACATCGGCCTCATGTTCAAACGAATTTGTTTTTGCTCTTGAACATCTTTCGCGTAAAGTGCGCTCCGCGGCAAGCTTAAAAGGAATGCCTGGACGGTCGGTCCCTGTTCAAGATGAGACGAGGACGAGGACAAGAGGACAGTCATGAGAAGGCGGCCCCGCCCCTTACCTGCAGGGGAGCCCCCGCGGCCGCACTCGTCACGCGCCCGGCGGTGCCGCGGAGGCTACAAGCGCCTCCGCGGCCGGCTTTGGAGCTGGCGCTGGCCCGACACCGGATCGGTTGCTAGCGCGGCCGAGGTCCAGCGTCGTTCCATTTTGTGTTCTCCTCCAGCCCTGTCCTTGACGAGCGAACAACACACACACCCATGCCCGAAGGGGGCACGGGCGGCGCTACGGGCGCGTGTTGTCCGACGGGGGTCCCCGCTCGAGTTGTAGCTTCCCCAGGGGAAACCACCCCGACCTCGATACATGGCGTTTACTCCACGGCCCTGGGCGTCTTCTAAACAGCCCAGCCCTCCCCTGTTCGATTCCTCCTTAGGCTGCGTTTGCTGAACGCCTTCGCCTGTCGGGGTGCTTCTCAGGGGGGTGTTTTTTTTTTTGCTCTCTCCTGCAGCGAGCCCTCCTCCCTCCGAGCTCCCTATGGGTATGGATGTGTGTGTGTGGGTGGCTGACGTGAGGCCCCTCCTTCGGCCTTCCCCCTCTGTCAGTTAAAGCTGTGCGCGGCCCGCTTAGCTTCGACCGGAAGAGGTGCGCTCTCGACCCGCGAATCAAAAGTGTGTGTGTGTGTGTGGGTGAGGGTTGCTCGCTCGTCATGTCCCTCCTGCCCTCTGGATGCGCCGGCCCGCCCCTTTACAGCGCTCGGGGGGCGTCGGCGGCCACGGGGGGGCCCCGCCCCGGCCCGCCCCTGCTCCGCTCTCCGCGGGCCCGCGGGGTCACCGGCCCTCCCTCGTCGTCGCGGGGCAGCTCGGGAGGGGCCGCTGGTCCTGGGAAGCAGCCCTGGCGGGTCCAGAGCACTCGAGGAAGAGAAGGTACCTCTACCGCTCTACCCTTTCCTCGTTGTCCCCTTTGTGGGCCTCCTCGGAGGCCCTCGTCGCCACCATCGGATTCGCCTCGAAATCCTGGTCAGAACGCACCCCGGGAGGGGTCCAGGGAGTAGCGGTATCGGTACCTTTTGGTCTCCCCAGTACAGTCGGACCGAGGTATCAGGTCGAGGTTGGTTCGGGGAGGGTACCCTCATGTTCTTCGTGTTTGTTGGGTGTCCTCGTGCATCCTGGGGGAGAGGGTGCCCTGGAATGCTCTTCATTTTGGCCGGCGGAGGGTCTCATGTTCTTGAAGGGTGTTCTTCTGTCCTGGGTCCGACTGAATCTCCAGTGGTTCGGATGTAACTCCTGGGAGGTGATGTTCAGCATCGGCGCTGTTAGGTCCGTGGTCGAAGAGCGGTCGCATCCAGCATACTCAACCCCGCTTAACTCCGTTTACCCCGCTTGCTCCAGCGAGTCTTCCGCTCAATCGGAGCTGACCCAACTTGCCGGCTCAATCCGGGCCTGATGGCCCTGGCTCGTCTTGACGAAGGCCTCGCGTGAGCTGCCTCCTGACTCGTGGGCCAGCTCCCCCTCGTGCCCCCTGGGCGGAAAGCATATCTGCATCCATGGCCTCACGCACCAGGCCCCTGGTCACCAGCCTCGAACGTATCCCTATCCCTGAGATTGACACGCCACGCCAAAAGGCGATGACAATCTTAGGGATGCACCCTCAGAAACTGAGGGAATCCCTAAGATCGCCATCGTGATGAGGCGATGCCGAACATAGGGATAGGGATATGTTCCAGGCTGGTAACCTGGACCGTAGCCCCGTGGACCCGGGCAGGTTCTTCCGCGGATGCTCCCCGCGCGGAGCGTGCCCGTGCGACCGCGCATCCGCGGGCTCGCGCCCTGGAGCCCACAGTACTTCGGGGACGTGGCTACGGAGAAGGTTCGCCGCTCGTGGCCATGTCGGCCAGCTTCTCAGCATCGTTTGACCGATCCCTTTCCCCATCCCCATCCCCATCCAGGCCCCCACCATCCCCTCCCCTCCCAGTTGGGTATATATATATATACATATATATATAGATATCGATATCTCTCTATATAATTATAGATATCACACCAGAGAACAACCCCAATCAGTGGATGGCTTTCGCTGAGGAGATCGACCGGGAACCTGGGAGCCAGGGCACCCAGAACCCGCCGAAATCGGCCCAGAGCCAATAACCGGGAACCCGGGAACCCGGAACGGGGAAGCCGGGAATCCAGCCTGCTACCGAAATCGGCCAGAAATTCTCGCCAAATCTTTCAATTTCCGCTAGGACCCCTTCAGTACATGCACTGATTGGGGAATGCTGAATCTAAATCTATATGTATGTATGTATGTATGTATGTATGTATGTATGTATGTATGTATGTATGTATATATATATATATGTATATATGTGTATATATATATACATATTAAAAGACTGCATTGGCGCTGCGCGCCATGTACCTTGGTCCTTTGAGTTCTGCACGCAAGCGGAATGCGTGCGTGCGTACATGCGCGCATGCATGTATACACGCGCACGCGCATGCACGTTCCGTAGAAATGTCTAGGTTTATACAATATACTTACATGGTTGTAGGTGTGTATGCAGCGTACATATGTACATATAAATCTATGCGTGTAAGGGTATGCACATGCATATGCAACTCGTACGGGGTATCCTCGGGCATCTTCGCTGCATGCCACGAGACCCTCAACGACTGGGTCACAATGTGAAATGTCATGGGAGCAAAACCGTTGAATATTGGCATTCAGAAACATCGTGGGGGTGTTTTCGGGGCCTTCGTGGGCCGTTTTGACGCCTTCATGGGCCGTCCTGGGGCCGTCTTTGGCCGTCTTGGAGAGCTTGGGCCCGCTGGAGCCCCCTTTGGACCCATCTTGGGCACTTCCGGGGACCTCCCATGGCCCTTTTGGGTCTGTGCTGGGAGCCCTTGGGGGGGCTCTTGGTTCCATTATGGGCTGTCTTGGGGCTCTCGTGGGCGATCGTGGGGCCCGGCTCGGCCGTCTTGAAGCTTTCTAGGGGGCCTTTTGGAGCGTCTTGAGGCGATCTCGGGGGCTTTGAAACCGTTTTGAAAGCTGATGAAATCCGAAAGGCGAATATGCTAAACTTGTAAGTTTTACGAAGGGAATGGGACGATTTTTGTGGGTTGAAGGCCCCTTGGAAAGCTTTTTGGGGTGCCTTGGGGGTCTTTATGTTGGCATTCGGAAACATCGTGGGGGTGTTTTCGGGGCCCTCGTGGGCCGTTTTAGCGCCTTCATGGGCCGTCAAGGGGCCTTCTTTGGCCGTCTTGGGGAGCTTGGGCCCGCTGGAGCCCCCTTTGGACCCATCTTGGGCACTTCCGGGGACCTCCCATGGCCCTTTTGGGTCTGTGCTGGGAGCCCTTGGGAGGCCTCTTGGTTCCATTATGGGCTGTCTTGGGGCTCTCGTGGGCGATCGTGGGGCCCGGCTCGGCCGTCTTGAAGCTTTCTTGGGGGCCTTTGGGGGCGTCTTGAGGCGATCTCGGGGGCTTTGAAACCGTCTTGAAAGCTGATGAAATCCGAAAGGCGAATCTGCTAAAATGATAAGTTTTACGAAGGGAATGGGACGATTTTTGTAGGTTGAAGGCCCCTTGGAAAGCTTTTTGGGGTGCCTTGGGGGTCTTTATGTTGGCATTCGGAAACATCGTGGGGGTGTTTTCGGGGCCCTCGAGGGCCCTTTTGGCGCCTTCAGGGGCCGTCAAGGGGCCTTCTTGGGCCCGCTGGAGCCCCCTATGGACCCATCTTGGGCACTTCCGGGGACCTCCCATGGCCCTTTTGGGTCTGTGCTGGGAGCCCTTGGGGGGGCTCTTGGTTCCATTATGGGC